TAACTTTTGAAATGTATGTATTTTAGCGGATAGTTTGGCACGCCGACATATAAAACATCCAGCTCAATTTTTGTTCTGCAATATTTTAAGATTATATCAGCTGCAGGGTGATCATGGAACTGTTATTGACCGCAGTATCAATGAGCTGAAAAATAAGTTAGTTTTCATTTTTCATAAAAGATATATTTTTTAAAACAGTTCTAATAGACCTTATTTTTATTATTAGAGATCTATATATTTAATTTGCAGTCCCGACAATTGGTCACTGTGGACATTTTTGTTTGATTCAACATTTGCATCTGTGAAGAATATTGAAGAAGAAGCAAAAAAAAGGTGCATGATACAACTATTAAACTACGCTTTTCAAGAGAACATTTGAACATTGAAATCCGCCTTTCGGATCACTGAAGCTCAAGAATTATGTGGGTTGGTAATTAGTATTTTGTTTAAGTTAACTAAGGTGAAGCTCACTTTTCAGATTACTCGATAGGGTTGTTGAACGAATTTTGTCACTAGTAGCCGAACCGTTGAATAAAATGTTACGTGGACCATATCTTGCACGTCTAACATTGATTAGGAAATTAGTGGAAAATGATGTTTTAGCAAGCAGTCTATTAGATACGCTTAAACTTCGTAAGTCACTTGTGCAAGAAACAATAAAATTTCATAAATAATTTAATTTTGTGAACAATTTTTATGAAATTGTTAAACTTTAATTGAAGATATTTCAATGATTTGGAAAATTCTTTGAGCATATTTTTTATAAGAGAAACTTACAGACGATCCTCTTGAGTATTTGTTTGAGTATATTCGTTTGTTCTATAGTAAGCCGTGCTGTTATGTTGATTTGAAGCCCTTTCTCTTCTTTATAAAAGATGATCAAGTTGATAATTTTATGCAAAGGGTTTCGGATTTTATCACTTTGCTGAAAGAAGAACATAATCAGGAGAAAGGAAAAGTAAGCCCTTTTGCAATACTATTAGATTTGCTTTTTGTTTCTTAATTTTTCCCATTTAGTTCATGTAACAATCAATGAACATATTTCAAAAAGGATGTTAAAGTGTCAAATTTAGATTTTTTTGTTTTACAGACCACAAACGTGCATTGGGCTGACATTGTATATCAGCGTTTACAAAGAGGGTTAGGACTTCATGAGAAATTATCAGCAGTTGAAAAAAGACGTGCTGTCACTTATATGGTGAAAATGATTGATTGCTGTTCGGATTCAGATCTTGCTGCAGCTGTGTATGCCCATCTTGCTGCAAATTTGCTGTGGGATCTATATGCAGATAATGGTATGTTCATTTTCCTATACATTTGCCATTCGGAGCAAACAAGTAAAGTCAAAGCATTTGGGATATGAAAGAACTTGTTCAATAATCTTTCGCGTGGCAGTAAAATAAAATTAGAAATTGTGTGTATTGCTAAAAACTTACAGCCGCTGTAGGACATATAAAGTGTGGAAATTTCGAAATTTAGTCCACAGAATTTAAGTGTTGATATCTGCTATATCCATTTACTATATCTTTTACTGCTTTTGATTTTGGTAATCATGTCTGCACTTATTGTCTCGCCTTTCATTGTGGATTTAAAATATGAAAAAAAAGATTCCCGTATTTTGAATAATTGATACAATTAAACGAAATATTTTAAACAATACCATTATATCAAACAATAAATGTCGTTGATGATAGCTTTCATTGAATTTAATTTTCAATTTTTTACTAATACAAAATTTAGGAAATGCTGATGCATTATATGAGTTGATATTGCTCCTGGAATGGGTTATAAAAAATCATCCATCAGATCCGATCAGTGCTATTGTTTTATGCAAAGCTTATTCATCTATTGGTGTTACAACTCAAGTGCAAAGGTTTATGCGCGCTTTGGATATAAAGTATATTCAAAGAGATACGTTAGGTAATAATTTCATTTTATTTCTTGAAATAAAGGATCTCTCTTTGATCTGCTGTATATCTCTGCGTTTTAGTGCTACAATCTTCTAAAAAATTAAAATCCAAAATAAAGATAAATGAAAGCGCCCTACTGGAAAAACTGTTTTTAAACGCAAGAAGCTGAAATTATAATTACCGTCTATATTGATCGTGACATATTACAGGTTACCTCATTTATGGTCTTCTGGAACAATATGGTAGGTTTAGTAGTGCTATAATTCATTATACGGAACTTACTGCTTTCTTCGATCAAACAGAAAAAGAGGTTTGTTTTGGATTAGGATTTTTATGGAGTTTGATATTTTAATCAAATTTTTGGAATGTTTTAGGCAACGCTCTAAATATTTCAGAATAAAAGTTTAGAATTTGACATAATAGCAATTAGGAATTGGCGAGATCTCTTCCATTTGAAGTTTATTTCTTTCAGATTAGGGGATGGTGATTATTTCATGAGCTACCGCTTTTTAGTGTTTTTTTTTCTTTGATTATAGGTATCGGAATGTTTAACTACTGCTTACAAAAATGGCAGTTTTCTACAAGTACCACGACTAGTTGAATTCCTGAATAAAATCAGCAAGTCGTTTATTGCTGTCGGTGTTGATATACAGACTCGAGCATTGAGTGCATGTTTTGCAGTTGACAAAGTTCAGCTTGTTGTTGACACTATGTACGGAGATGAGGAACCGATTGGTTTGTTTTCTTCAACAATGATTTTAATAATCGTAACGCTTCTTGGATTGCTACTTTTCAGTAATTTTTCTACAAATCCAAAAAAATATTGCAACTAAGATATCATGTTTTTGAGCTCACTGCTTAAGCCCTTGTCCTAGATTACGCCATAAGCTGAGTCAAGTATTTTTCCTGAACTAAATGTTGCGTTTATTAATGATTGAATAATTAAGAATTACAGGAGAAAATGAGAGGGATATTTGCGAAAAGTAAAAATGGATAATTGATAGTAACTAAAGAAATAAATTTTCCCTTTAATCAGAGATAATTTTTTAGCAGTTATTAGAAAAAATTGTTAAACATTTCAGATTTTCTTGGACTTGAGGATAATCGTGATTTCGGTATTATACCATCGTTTGATGCTAACAAGGAGCAGCAGAGGCTTAACGAAATGAAGCAACGTACCTATCATGAGCAGGTCGAACTTAGTTTTTTGAAACATTGAATTTCAAAAATTTTACAGAATTTATAGTACACTCTTTTAAATTTCAGTTTTTTAATATTAAATATAGATTGATGTTTTCCAGTGTGATGCAATGAAATTAAGCCATTTGTTAATGAAATCAGTAGCGGCTGTAGGTCGTTCCAAATGTACTCTAAAAAATTTGTCCATTTATCTGGATGAGCTGAAGAAGCATGTCGAGCACTGCAGGAAAACATATAAGGAGGATGATTCTTTGGTAAAATTATTTAATTTCTAATAGGAAATTTTATAATGTTTTGTGTCTTTTTTACACATTTCCCGTCCTCTTTTTCAAAATCTTAGCACTGTTGCAAATCTTGTATTATCCATTATCGTTATCTTTACAATATTCCGAATTGAAATATACTAATTTTATAATATTAAAATGTAGTAAATGATTTTCAATATTATTCTCTTCCGTGATTAAATTTTTACTATCATTCTCTTCATAATATCATTGATTAACTTAGAAAATATAATTTCAGCCCAATTTGTTACAATCTCCTCCACCATTATATTTAAGCGAATTAATAAATACGCCAAAAATGGATTTATTGATGCTTCTATTAAAATCAGCTTCAAGTGTGGTGGAATGTTCGGAAAGCATTATTTCATCTAATGTAAGTTAATTGTTTTAGGAAGGTGTATCATTAAATACTTCAGGTTTTTCTTCGTAGATCTTAGATTAGTGTGCATAGTTTGCTATAACGAATTACTAACAATAATGCTGTGTTGAATTAAGTTAAAAGTAGGTCTTATGATAATAATAGAGCGCCTTGTAGTCACAAAATTAAGCAAAAACTGGAGTCGTCCTCCATATGATGAGTATGTGATCCGTCACACACTTATAATTGAGTTCCTGTAATTGATGATGATAATAATTGGTGTTTCTCTATTTGTTTGAACAACTTAAAGTAAGTGTAAATAGATATGTAATTTACTGTTTTGAATTTATTAGCCAAATTTATTTTCATCATCCAGTTATTAAAACTAAATTATAGTTTCGGCGAACTGCCAAACTTGCCATTGTTTTATTTTATGGTAAAATATTAAACATATTTTTTCAAGATTATCGAACATGTTCATGAAGAAAAATTGCTTCACTGCTTGCCGAATGTTGCCGAAGTTGAAGAATTAGTTATTGGTAGATTATGTTTTGAATTTCACTTTTCTGCTTATTTTGAAAGTTGATCTAAACTATCCATTTAGTATAGTTGTAATGCCATTTAATTTGGTGTACTTGCTTTATGGCTTTATGAGTGCATAGCTTAGATGCCAAAAATTGTTTTTTTTTTGTTCTCAAGAATAAAAAAATTAAAATGGAAGGTTTTAAACTTGAAATTGACTATACTTAATGAATCTTTGCCCTGAGGTTGTAATATGTTCTGGATATAATCACCACTTAGTGCTAGCTTTATATCATCTGAAAAACTTCAGATTTCTCAATTTGAGTTTCTAATTACATGGAAAATTTTACCAACAACTTAAATAATGAGAATTGATCATTTTCTTCCAGCTCTCGCTGCTTCAAATGTTGCTACGGGTGCGCTTTGTTTCCATGTAACATTACGGCACTGCAGTATGGTACTACAAGTTCTTTCATTTGCGCAGTTAATTATTAAATTATTGGAAATGGTTCTGGATAATATTTTTGCATTTTCACTTGGTCAGGGAACTAAGAAGGGTAGTTTCTCAAAGGTGAGTTTAATTCCAAGTTTCGCTGATAAAGGAATTTTGAAAAAAACAAACATGAACTGTATCATAAATTGAATCATTTGATGAACTAATTCTAATTCCTTTTATAAATGATTATACATAAGCCTTCGTTTTAACTTATTTTTTTATAACTATATTGCGGCAGGAAAAATTTTTTGTTTTGAAGAGATTTGAAATGTAGTTTTTTTTTTTATTTGAAAGAATTGGAAGTACACTATGTTTTGGAATAATGGATTCTTTTCCGCTTTTTGCTCTACGCAGTTTCATGTTCTCTTTCAGAATCAGAGAAAAAATGTTGTACTGAATAGGTTACATGAAGTACGGACATTGATTAATAAAGGTGTCATATCGATAAATACGCAGTTATCTGATGTTCATAAATTGCTCAAAAGTAATGATCTCATCCCAGAAATTAGTAACGATTATGATGAGGTAAGCAAATTTAAAGAAATTTCGATATACTACGTATTTTTTGCAGATACTGCGGAAGTCACCTTTAAACTCCTCATTTAATTTTGCTTCGTAAGTTGCACTTTATTACACTGCACTGTTTCAAGTTAAATTGTAGCAAAATTTGTTCAAATAACCGTATCATGACAGTGGGATGGAATTGAAGCTAAATTCAGTGGTATGTATACTTTGTTTAAATTATTTTTTTAGGCAGTATACATTATATTGCTCAAAGAGCAAGTTCAAGTCGACTCATCCATCGTTGCCTCATATACGGATTCTATTATGGACATGCAAAAAACTGTGAAACGCATGCTAAATCAATCGCAAGCTTGATGTTTTAAAATTAAATAACTTTCGTGTTTTTATTTGTAAATATCATGCTATCCCGATATTATTTCCTTTTTTGCTGTTATTTAACAATGATTAATTTGTATTTTAGTTTCTCACGTGTAATGGCATGCCATTTTTATGAAGAAAATTCAGTTTAAACATTTCAAAAATTCTCTCGAAATTACAGTAGATCCTTCGAAATAAGGAACAAAACATAACAGCCTTTTCTCATAGTCCTCAAAGAATTCGTTAAATTATTTTGTTGTCCTATAACTGCTAATGTGGGCATACGTCAGGTGTTGAATAATGATGAATTTTTGAAGGTTGTAATGAAAAAAATTTTGGACAGTATTATTCCACGTCTTTTATTTTTCCGAAGTATACTGCGTCAGAAATTTATACAACTCCATCTCATCGCCTAGTCTCTGCTTATGATTTGTGCGCCCGATGGTTTATTCCGTTGTCAAAATGTCTGCATTTCATCTTCGATTTGTCCGTATTTGAATTTACTCAGGCATCACATTACAAACATGTGAGATTCTACTGCTTTATTCTGTACATCTTTCTACACCCGTAGAAAAAAACTTAGGATCTGCAGTAAATCAAAGAATGAAAGCTTGATTCAAATACTTCAGCGTTGTTTGAAATGTGAACAACCGTTAACAATAATTAACTCGCTTAATCTCCGAATGTTCGGAATTGAGAGTATAAGAATGGTTACAGTTAAGGATTACTTTTGAATCATAAGAGCGGTCGCAGTTAAAGACTACTTTTAAATCATTTTCCTGCAACATCTAGATGATAAATTTATCAGGAACAAATATACAAATAATAATGCATGTATGGGAAGCATCGGTAGTTAGCTGTTTTGAGTCATATCGCGCATATTGGGTTTGTAACGTATATTTTGCGCCTTTAATTCTTGAACTATGTGAGATGGTAAAGTACCGGATACTGAAACTGCGTAAATTCCTTTCACCTAAAACAGTGCATTCGGAATCCAAATTTCGAAAGAGGGTAAAATAATTGACTGCATAAAAAAACTAATTGGATTAACAGCTTACTTTACGATTGATTTTTTGCCATTTGCATACCCAGGATTCTTCCGGTACTGTCGCAGCTATCATCCCATCGAAATTTGAACTGCAATGAGTATTTAGTTAAATTATGAAAATTCTGCAAACTTTTGGAAAATTGAAATATATACATCTACAAATTAGTTTGTATGGCTTTTGTTTAGTAACTTGGAATCACTTGAACTTATTCTCTTAATTATTCCCTCCAGCTTAAAGAGTGCTACTCTAATTACAGAATTTTGCTTGTATGAATTACCAAAATAACATGAAATGCTATATGAGGAACGTTTCGCGAACTTTGGGAAGCTACTGTCTCATTGTATCCATTGATAATACTTCCCAGCATTTAGTGTTTATTATTTTATTTCGACTTTATATAGCCTTCGTCCATATATTGCTGAATTTGCTTTACTGATCTTGATATTCGATTTTTAGACGTAATAGTACTCCAGTGAATCAGATCTATGAAGTATACTTTAATTTGGGATTCAGATATTTCCAGTCTCTGTTTTATAATCAAATCAACAAGTACAGGACATATCCCTTGAAATCCTCAACATCCTTAATTAATTACAAAACGATTTACCTCGTGCACTCGCTAACTTTCTCTTCATCACCCTTCATTCCCAAATACCTTTCACAATTATCACAACCATCCATTTCAAACTGTTCAACACTTTTTATCATCGAACATAGTAAGCAAGCCCGTAAATTACGCAAATCACGTGGTATACTTCCCACAGACATCCTAAAAATACCATTTAAATTGCGCGAAATACAGTACTTGAGAAAATTCACTCAACTCCTTCACCACCCTAAACACTATTATCACAATCGTAAATCAATCTAATAAATAATGCAAATATTTGGCGCTACCGAACTTTTTAAGGATCCCTGGCTCCATCATTTTTATACAGCTTACATGGAAAGTTTCACATTTTTTATTTTACTTCTCTACAAAAGTACTATAGGAGAGGTATTCAGCAAGCAGAAAGCTAAACATATTACGATGTAAAAAATACGGGACGTTATTCTTCTTACTTTATACCAAATAAAGATAAAAAGTTACCAGAAATCAATAGTTATCAACGACTTTATGAAAGAAATCAACAAGAAAACGAAATTTTCCTTCAGTACAAACGTCTTTTTGAATATAAACATAAATTTAAAATAAAAATTTGCTCCAATAGAAGATGTGGCAAAGTATCACTTGCGCAGCAGATTCAGAAAAGAAAAACAATACTGCCAATTCTGTCACACCAACAAAAATAAATAATAATATATAATATGTAAAAATTATTTCTCATATTATTTACTTTGCTGTCTTCCCTTGAATCAATTAACTGCAAGCGATTAATCTTTATTCAAATTCCATCAATGATTTTTAATCAACATCTACTTAGAATAGGAGATAACATCCAGCAACATCGGCAAAAATTCACAAAGATCTTATGAAATTTATGCGGTAAAAATATGGCTAAGTCAGTTACTGCGAAATAACCAATAAACACATAGCTCAATAGTAATTGATCAGTTGTAACCATCTGATTTTCAAAAAAGATTTTCATTCTGATATTTGGCTAAAATGAAAATAAGATCAAAAGTGGATTAAAATTTGAACAACATTCATTTCCATTTGAGTAATTTTTGGCTTAAGTTCAGAAAATATCTTCCGGTGCGTCGAGGTCTTTATATGTGACTGGTTCACGTGGGTCACGACGACCACTTCCCGATGATTCCCAATACCGGGATGTTCCTCCTCGATCGTAGCTTCGGCCGCCGTACGAACTCGCATATCGTCCACCACTACTGCTACCAGCATTACGCTCATAACCACTACGACGATCACGATCTCCGTACGATGAGTTGCCACCACCCCCACTCGTCCGACCCCGATCGCCATCATAGTCTGAAAACCGAACAGAATGAGAGAAACACAAATTACTCAAATTTGTCTTCCCTATCCCCACTCCTAAATTACGAAAAAGATCGAATTAAAAAAAATTCTATTTGACATTATATCATGAGAATCACTCATGTAAAGTCTAAAACTTGAAAATTTCCAGTTTCCATAAACTTTTGCTAGGTTTTAGAACTACCACGTTCACGTTCACGTCGTTCTTCTCGTGGTGGTGCTGCTTGCGAATTTGCTGGAACAGGTTTCACCTCCAAATTCTGCGGTCGTTTTGAGTCAGTCAAATAATTGTTAAAATAAATTGCCTGCAAAGAAATTACTCATAAAGAATAAGTTCTGGTTTTCAATAAATATGCGTCGCTATCAATCAATTCCGAAAAATAGATACCGGGTGGTACAGAATACTAAGGGATATCTAAATCAATAAAAAAATTCAAAGAGTTCACGGGTGTTAGTCGAAATCGGTAAAGGAAAACCTCTTGTCGAACTTGATCCAATTTCTCTCCATGTTTAGTTGTAAGATGTTTCCGTATGAACTCTGGTCCTTTAAATTTTTTTCCCGACAATGGACATAGCCATTTGTCTTTGGCTAATTCAACACAGTTAGCTGTGATAAATGACTCCACTTCCCTTTAAAACAGAACTTTTTAAAAAGACTTTGGAAATCTCAGATAGTTCAGTTAAAGTATCAAAAGATGCACTGATAAAACCGAATTGTTTAACAAAATACAGCATTTAAATTTTTTTCAGTCGGCTCCCTTAGCATCAACCTATGACTGCTGGACATTTGAAAATCTAAAATTATCGAAACAAAAAACCATGGAATTTCTCACTTTTCGGTATCTTTTCTACCCAAACTATCCAATTCCGATTCACTTAATGAAGTTTCACACATCAAAGCTGTTTCTATCCGATTATTGAATCCAGTGATGAAATCGGTAACGAATTTTTGCGCAACCAATGTTCTACCGTTGTCATCAGTTCCCCACTGTGATATAGATGGTGGCGCTCCGCGAACATGCATCATTCCGCATCTGAAGATCATGAAATTTAATAATTTAAGTAAAGATAACATAAAGTACAAACGATCTGTTCAACAGATTAAATAACCAAGAATTCAGTTAATTCTCAGTTCTTTCTATCATTTATAATTTCAGGTTCAAATTGAATAATAATCCAGCTAAATGTGCAAATCTTTTATCCAACATATAGCACATGTATTGGTGATATTTTTAAAAAAGAATAAAGATCAAGATACCTGTTCGGCATCACGTCCTCATTAGGATATTCGCCATGATTATAAAAATCAATAGAGTGCACCATGCGGAGATAAATTATGATTCGATCAAGTCTTGCAATCAACGCATCATCGCGTTGAAATGGAACTTTTTGGTCCTCTTCAATGATACCTTCTGTAATCAAATATTTCCCCTTTTTTGATACATAATTCCCTTATTATTACTGTTATTTTTGCTTAACACTGCCAAACACACGTAAAAAGGTGATGAAAGGAATGAAAAAATATAGTCTTCAAAATATTCCGATTAAGAGCTTCAGTAGATAACTTTATTTTATATCCCAGACAAATAAAATATTTACCACTTGAAATGCCCAGTAATTCTTCTTCTTCAGCACTCGCTTCTTCAATGAGAAAATCAGTAAGATTTTTTAGCAAAGGATTCTGACTTTGTGCTACAACATCCAGTTCAAAGCTACTTTGACGTTCCTCTTGATTTTCCGATTGATAAAGACCGTTCTGAAAAATGAAAACCTAAGATACGAAAACCTTCTCATGATATCTTAGTGTTAATTTCTATAAAATGTAGCGTGTGAGAATAGCTTCGTTATAACAAAATTTTCGTGATGTTTCGTAAAAAAATTTAAAAAAACCTGCCTTTTTGTCATATAAAGCAGTAAGCTTTGCTGCTTGCCGCAGATCATTTTGAGCGACTTGTTTATGTCCTGTTATACCATTTACAGATCGCACACGACGAGCTATATCTCGATTTATTACTGCACCCAAGTCACATTCCTTTATCTGTACATGAAATACCAAGGTTTTAAAAAGCAACTTTTGACAAGTTTTTTGAATATTACAAAAACATGTGATCAAGTAAATAGGATTCCAATTTCTACCAAGGCCATTTAAAACAAAATAAAAATATTAGTGACTTTTTGACCAAGCAAAATCATTGGTATGACGTATATTTTTTCCTTTTCAAATTGAAAAAACAGCCAAAAATCACTAACACGGACGCTATTCAAATTCCAACAAATTTCTTTAATATTGACATCTCGTCTGAATGTCACCCAGCCACGTCGATAGAATTTCCGATCCGGTACCGGATCCGCAAGACCAACTCGCAAAAACCCAGGGAATCGTTTACATGCCTATAAATACTTGCATAACTGTTGAAATTTCAATGATTTATGAAAACACCACCGTCAATGAAACATTTATTTCTTCATACCATGACATTAACTTGTAAACTTAAATTTACGAGAATTCAAGGTATTCTTCTTGGAGATGAAATAATTATAACAGAAATTAAGGAATATCAGATATAGGAAAAGGGAAGAAACCGTTTCAATTTCTTCCATGGTAATATTCGGCGCAACATTCCGAAGGAAAATGCTCGAAGTTTTATGCAGCAACATTTTCTTCTTTTGTCGTCCCATTTCCTCCTCGTTTTTAACGCTTTCTTCATTTCCAGCTCAAATTTATGAGTATTCATTCTGGACGAATTGTAACAAAAAATTGCAACAAAATCAGAAACATCCTGATAGAGAAAGAGAAAAGTGTAGATGTCGATATGTGACAACAGAGAAACTTCCGTGCTTAAAAAGCTGGATGAATTTAATAAAATTAAATCATGCACAAGCGAACTAGAAAAGCAATCTTTCGTTCATCTACAATCACTTCAAAGTTGCAATTATATGTAAGATGAATAAATACCATTTTTACACTGCTTATCTTTTTCATCATCAGAATCACTTATAGCACCATCATCATTCGGATTCTCTCCACCTTTTTCCTGTTTCGGTTTGTTCTCTTCTCCATTGATTTCAATTTTTTTCTTCGTTTCACTAAAAAAAATCTTGTCATCAAAAAACTTAAGCAGAAAAAATCTGATGTGAAAAATTCAGGACTGCGAAAATCGCATGATTATAGAACAGCATCTTTGATGTAATTGAAACCACAAAATATAATGAGAGAGGTATAGTTTTGGTGGCAAACTGTTATCCCACCTATTTCACTGAAACAGATGTTGCTGGAATATCCGTTAAACTTGACGAATAATCCAAATTCTACATTTTTTAGAAGGAAGGAAAATCCACCTTTTTAATTTTTTTAATTCCAAAACCGACTCATCATCAATTTTTTCACTCTTCAAAGCTGCAACATCATCTTCCGTGCCACCTTCCAACTTGACGACCACTGAAATGATCTAATGATTTCCAAGCGCAATAAATGATCAATAAACACAATTCTATTCAGAACTTTCAAAATAATTTCATTAAAATTAAAAAAATTAATACTAACGTGTATCCATGGTCCGTATGATTTCTGGAGCATAATCGTAGTCAATATGTAACTTATCAATACACCCTTCGTCATAAAGATTTTGGAAAATTTCCAGTCGATGCAATACATTTTCCTTCTGTTCAGCTTTTCGCCTACCACTATCTTCTGGATGGTATTTTAGACGGAACCTATAAAAACAATTTCCTGGGACATAAATTCATAAATCAAAATATGTTTTCTTGTGCCAAATTCAGTAATACAATAACCAACTGAATACGACAACATATTTACGCGAAATCGCAATTTGAATTAAAAATGCTTTATGCTTTCCCATCTTCCACTTCCAAACATGTTGAATTACTTATTTCTACCATCCATCTCATTGAACCCTTATTTTGGAATATTTAAATAAATTTGAGAAGCATATTGTTGACGATGCAGGCAGTGTGTGACTGCTTAGTTGTTGAGAAGTATTTTTGAGATGAGATGAGGAACTGTGGTCAGCAAGTGAATGAAATGAAGAATCGTTTGACAGCAGAAGGTAGTGAAGTTATGTTGGACGATTCGTCGACGTGATGTTGATATTATTGTGCTTATGGCGAAAAACAGTTCCGGATTACTGAGAAATGATGTTTTACTGATGATGACTGCCGCGGCATACAGCGCCTCTGGTCAGCCAAATTTCCACAATGCTTGACGCTGTTCTCATCAAATCAGAACATAAACTTACTGTGAAACGCTGCATATCCAAAGAAAATGTAGCAGTTATCTTTTAGTATGCCATCCAGCAATGTCATTATCTTATACTATACGAAAGATCTATGTAGAAATATGTAATGCTTCAAAACTACGTGCGATACTTCTAAGCCTAATCGATAACGAGAAGTTTCTAGAACTAAGATCATAAACAAGCCTAAACCAATGTGTATCCTTTAGAAGGTCTTGAAATTCCACTTTTGGAAAAGTGCTTATCCCTTAAGAGTTGGTAACTTTGTGAAGTGCTACTCCAACCAGAACAAGGTCTTACCTAATGTGCATCTTTTAAAAAGCCTTAAAATTTCATTTTGCTATACTAAAGCTATCTATAAAGAAAAATTGTGGAAATCACGAAATTCTTCTTGCTTTGTTCTTGTCCATAATTCCAAGTTGAAAAACTACAGGAAAATAGCAGGAATACTGCGCAGATTTTCTACTGCGAAAAACTTAGCATCAGTAAAATAAACCAATTATAAAAAAAAAAATCTCTACAAAATGAACTTGCCATACAAAATACGTTTTTGAGCAAAAATAATAAAAATATAAAATTACTAAAAGAACGAAGGAACTAGTAGATACGGCATCTATGCCATCACCCACCACTCTTCATCCTTATGTGCCGTAAAGAATTTCTGCAGCTCTTGTCGCTTATAATCCAGCTTATATTCTGAATATTTAGCAATTGCTTCTTCATCGGTTATTGAATCATCCTGTGTTGCAAGGAATTTTTTGAACGTCATCATTGCCGCTACTGATTCTTCGTCCGTAGATGTTTTCATCACAGGATCATACGTATCGGACGCACTGCTAAATTATCCGTTTAGAAACGACAATTTGAATTTCATGATTTTGAATATGAACAAAACATGAGGTTCATTACTACACTATATACTCCATATCACCCCCGGTGCGGAAAGACTAAGAGCCAGTTTCACAATCATCGAATGCCTTATCAAATGCAAAACCGAAACTGATGTATGAAGACTCAAAGTTGCCCATAGTTGTCCATATGTTCACTAAGTTTACTTCGAGTCCTGCCACCAACTGCGCATCATCAAGCATGTGCACAAGCATAACCATACATAAAAACATTAATGAAACCTGTTTTTACATTTGCATCAATATTTCGCTTACTCAATTCGGCTACGTTTCGTGCTGGATATGTAATCATCGCGACGTGATGAAGAGCGTTTCATCGACGAGCCATTTGCGTAATCACCTCGCTGATACGCATTACTTCCACCACCAGTTCCACCACCACCGCCGCCACGTCTATAAAAAAGTTGTATAATTTTTAGATTTAAGATTTTATAAACTGATGAGATTTTAGTTTCCACACAGCTATTTGATCAAATAATCTTATTCATGTCCTACCATCTTCACATAATATATTTTGCATCGACTAATATTGGAAAGGACAATATAAACAGAGGGAGGGTAAGCAGACTATTCCTCTTACAAATTTCTTAAATTTTTAAAATATTTGCAAAAGTTTCAGCTTGATCACTATCCAAATATTACCTATCATAGTCGTAGTCGCGTCGTGTCCGGTCTGGATAATCATTACGCTCACGTGCGAACTTATCACGTCCACCACGTCTATGATATTCATCATCGCTATCACCCATTACTTCCGCTTATGCTAGGTATACTTATCTGAAATATAACAGAATATTGCACAATCTATCGATTTATTCATTTCTTACTGAAACTCGTAATATGATGTTTTTATCTCTAACTAAATACGCAGACGATATCTACCGCAGCTAGCCTATTTATGTCGATGATTTTAGTCACTGAATCTTCCCACTTTTTCACATTCTTCCAGTAAACTTTTTGATATTTCGATAGCTTAATTTTGATAACCATGAAAACAAATTTCACGGTAAAGATATTTGTAACTTGATTTTCAGTAATTTCGATCGCATGTTCGTTATAGGCAATTAAGTTAAATACTTTCTGAATTCGTTTCCATGAAAATACTTCACTCTTCTTTTTTATTATGTAGCAGCTGCGTTCATTATACAATTCAATATATTCTACAGAATGCATTTCTACCAAATAATATATTAGCGAGCAAACAAGAATATAAGTAAGACAAAATAAGTGCAAATAGTAAGTAAACGAGAAAACCCAAATTAAGTTCAAATTTACTTTGACGTAAGTAAAGTTTTCGTGATTTCACAGAAATATGCATAAAAAGGAGCTAATGAAGTAATATGAGGGATAATATATTCAAAAAAATGAAGATGAGTGACAAAAATACGTAAGTAATCAATCTATATTTAAGGAACTTAAGTCATGCCACGCAAAAAATGGGAATGACCAGAACTCCAACGCATCCACATCGTGGCGGAACTCACTAACGAATCGTTGCAGCGTAAAACCCTTTCTCTCAGCCGTACGTCTCCTCTTTGTCCGGGCAATCGTGGTAAGATGCGTATGGTGCGGTGTCACGTGATAACGTGTACGTAAAGTATCACAACTGTACGTTGTGTGTTTACTACATTTCTGCCTTTGAGGTGGGACAGACGCATTCGTGTGTTGCATATGTGAGTTTTATTGGCAGGTAAAGAAGTAGCAACTAATAAATTGGTTATCGAAATGAAAAAGTGAGCAAAAAAGGTATGATACAGTTTCCTTTGAAAAGAATCCTGTGAAAGATTACCTGGATATAGGAATGACATGAGGAAGATCAGTGCGTACAGGATCGAAATAAGAGTTACGTTTACACGGAAGGTCTTGACAAGGATCGTGGAAGAAAGAGATGTTATGGGACGAATTATGTGATGAGAACAACATGAGAATTATGTAATTCTGTAAAAAGGATTTAAACAGGATATAAGAGATATATCTGTATGACCGTTAATAAGCTTAACATACTTGTAAGAAAAGTCCTGTAAACGAAAAAACACAATGAAAAACCGCAAATTATTGCCAAATTTCCTCCATGCCTTTGAAATTGAGATTTATTGCAATCATATGTAATGATCCGTCGAAGTTCACTTGCTGATGTGGTATATCTTAGAAGTAATAGGTTCTTTACGTGATATATGCGCTTGTTCAGTATTTATCGAGATGAATATAATTATCGATTTTCATACTATCCATAAATGTTATAGCTTAGATTTTATCAACCCAATCTCCCTCAAAACGTAATATTTCAATATTATCAATGATTGAGTATTATTATAGCTGAAATGCTGATTTTTTCAAAGTATGACATTTTACAAGTTATTGGAACTCTTGCCTCTTTTTCCTTCGTTCATTTATCTGTGCCATTATAAAATTATATCGGTTTTCAAAATTCTCAAATCCATATTATCTGTTTCTATCAGCTGGAGGAATTTTGAATTCATAAAATTTGATAATTGCTCTCTGACAGTTGTGTACCATCCTGGAATTTTTGCCATATATTAAGTTTATCATTATATCATAATAGATTTTAAGTTGATTATTTTGAGATTTAAGATGGCACAAACGGCAGACACGGCTTATTCTGATGGGAATGAAAATGATGGACTGGATCTTGATGTAAACGTAAACGACGTACCAAATGTTGCTGCGAATATCGAAAACATCGGATTGGGACAAAATAAGTAATTTTAACTTTGTTACGAAGATGGAATTTTCATTGTTTCATTATGTGAAAGGATGACGCATCAGTTTTTATGAAAATCAGAACATTCTTAGGGCTGTTGTCGAATTTCGAAAAAATCATTTTGTGGAGTTAACTGAAAGTAATGAATGAACGGAACCTTTTGTCTTCGCAGTTATCAATTATTGTTAATGCAAATAATTTTAGTGCTGATATTGAGGTCGATAATTTAATAAACAGAGAAATCGATGAAACCATCATTCGTGATAAGGAAAAAAAGGATGATATGGGACGTTGTGCAGAACTTGAATTAGCTGTCACTGATTGCAAGAAACGTTTGCGGAAAATCAGTGTAAGATTTTAATGTGAACTTACATCGCTAATTTTTCAAGACAGTTCAGTAGTTGGTTCAAATACCAACCGCAGCGAAAGAAAACAAGTTAATAGATCTGTCTTTCAGGATAATGAGAGAAGTATTGAACGAATGCAGCTCATGGAAAAACTTGTGCAATGTCAGCTTGAACTTGACGCTTTAAAAGTAAATTATTGAAACCATGCTTAACGAAAAAGAGTGATAAAATATGTTGTGAACAACCTTCAAAGCGAAACATAATCAAGCTGATATGAATAAAACAAACTGATTTGTTTTATAGGAAGAGTTATCTGATCCAGTAAAAAAAATTCGAACTCCGCGTGCCATAACTATGATGGGACATCAGTTTTTCTTGCAATCAGCTACTGGTCGAAATCCATATTGCGAAGTTTGCTTATCTACGATTTGGCGTTTGATACAACGTTATCGGCGATGTAACAGTAAGCGCTTGGTGAAATGAAATTTAACAATTTTTGTTGAGAAATACTTGAAAGGAAGTATGGAGCAATTCACCAAACTCTGTGAAATTGCAAACATGTACGAAATTGATTGATCTAGTTCTCTTATCTATAATAAATTTAATTTTGATAGAAACTAAATGACTCATCTCTCTTTACAATGTGTCAGCTCTTCAAATAATGTCATCGAGATTTTATTATATTTCGTAGATGAATTATCTACTTCACTACTTTTCCATTTTTCACGTGCAAATTGTAGATTGTGGTTTGCGATCACATGATAAGTGTGTGCAGCACGTCTTGCGTTATTGTGCTGGCACCAAAGCGAACGATATACTCTTTAGGTTTATTATGAATGCCATAATTAGGAACTCTAAGGCAGAGTTTTTTTATGCAGATGTATTAAATGTTTAGAAGTTTGCATTTATATTCACGAACAATTTTCTGCATTGTATAGGATGTAGGTTTCATTCGAGTTTTCAGCCTATGCAATACTAATTTTTGTGCAAAATTATAGGCCGAGAACGGAAATTTGTGAGGAACGTGGGCTTGATCTGCAAAACTACAAATGTGCAGAGTGTCATCACTCCTTACAATTTGGTAAGGGAGACAATTTGCTACATTGACGTGCTAGTTTGTATGGCTTTAAAGTTTTGTTTTTCATTATGCAAAAATTAAAGATGGCGCAACTGATAGTGAACCACGATTGTGTGACTATAACGGCCATTATTATTGCCCACGTTGTCACTGGAACGATGAGTGGTTTATTCCGGCCCGCATAATACACAACTGGGATTTCAACAAGTATAAGGTTTTTTTTTTTAATGTTAAAAATCGGTTGCTTTTATTGATTGTTTTAAATTCCTTCTTAACTAGAAAAATTTTCAATTTGCATCGAGATATTTCAGGTTTGTCGCGCTACAAAGCAGTTACTTGTTATCATCGAAAAAAGACCAGTTTTCAATATCTTAAAGTTGAATCCAGGATTAGTGAATTATGTTGATCAATTAGCCAAAATAAATAAGTTACGGCAAAATATATTGTTGATGAAGTGTTACTTCATGTGCTGTAAGGTGAGATTCAATATTTACTAAAAATTGCCGAAATGAGCTTTTTCATACCACTCAATTTATAAATGTAAATTGCTGAGCGTATATGAAAAATTATGAAATTTTCATTAAAGGTAGCCCGTAAGCAGCGAATTTTGCAAAATTTGAGACATCGTCAACATTTTGTCGAAAATTCTGATATGTACAGTTTGATGGATCTGGTGGATTTGTATCAAGGTCGATTATTACCGGATATTGAAGGAATAATTCGGATATATTCGGAACATATTACTAAAGACTGTTTGCTCTGCAAAGGAAAAGGATTTATTTGCGAGTTATGTGACGATACTACTGTATGTAAATTCCATTTTTTAAGTATTTGAAGTTTTTCGTAATTTAAAAATTCATGAGGATGAAGTAAATATGAAATAATGATTTCTAGAGTATTTCTTTTGGCTATTTTTGACTCTCTTTTTTTTCAGGCTATTTTTCCATTCTTCGAAAATGTGGCCATTTGCCGTAATTGCTTAGCTACTTTCCATCAAGAGTGTTTTAACAGGAAAAGCAAACACTGCCCAAGGTGACACTGTTATACTACAATAAATAACTTTTGATTATCCATTTGCTTGTTTTTCTTCAACAATTATAACTTAATTCTTCTTTTCAGGACGAAGTTTTTCCTCATCATTTATGGCATATCTATTTAAAGAATTTTAATTGACTTGATTGTTTTGCATTCTAGAAAAATTATTTTAGGTGTTTGCGGCGAAAATCTCATGCATATTCAATGTTCCCTGTGGATGATATTATTTAATTCAAATAATCACACCATTCGGATATATATATATATATATATATTTGCTACTTGTATTTTTAATAAACAATTGTGAAACTTTGTTGGCGGTTTCACTTCCATAAATTGTACATAGTCTAAAATAAAGTATTTGTACACCGATGTTATGTAACATAGCTGTAGGATAATGACAGTTTTTATATCTTTTTGCACAATAAACGAAAATTATAGCTTCCATTGTTTTTATTTTTATATTAAGGAGAAAATCGTTTCAAAGTATTGTGTAATTAGAAGTGAAAGTTAGGCTGTGTTTCTGAGTTGAATTTAATAGTATTTTCTTGATTACAATTCTGAAAGGGAAATAAAATTCTTAGCAGTTCTCAGCAATTTCTTGATCATTCATGCAAAAATCAAATTTTGCTTTTTTCCTAAAGGATTTATTTGAATCCGTGAGAGGCAGGAACTTTGGAGACTATTCAAATTTTGTTGAATAGTGATGTTTTTGTGAGCGAACAGTGAATCCTCAATAAGAAAATTTATTAATAAGTCATAAATAGATTTCGATTTATGAGTTGTTCTGAGTACGTGAATCTGATCTCGCCATGTTAAGTAGTTCTGAGTTGTCTTACGATTATCCCACAGATGAATCCGTTGTACTGTGGCAGGATATCACCCTTCAGCATGATAGGTCGCTACTCCTAAGAGATGTGATTCATTCAGCATGCTTGCTAAGAATTGATTTTTTGAACTTTTTTTTGTCTGATGGTATTTTTAAGAAAAAACAACATGAATGTGTCTGTGCATAATGGTATTACCGACGCGCAGGAAACTTCGATACAACGATTACTCGAACCAAATATTATTATGTCAGCACCCAAAATTAGTACAGTTGTTACGACATTAACACCACAAATACAATTATCTAATTTACATTTTTCTGCCGAAAACTCAACGGAGGAATCAGGAAAAAATGAAAGTAAGTTATTGTCTTCAGTCAGTAATCGTCCAAATATTTAATGTTTTGTGACATTTGTTTTTTCACAGTTTTGAAGAAATTTTCGTTCTGCATTATTTTTGCTACGAACGAAGAAACAGGGTGTAGGATGGTATTAATATTAAAAAACTGGATCATATCTCAGTCGTTGCTTTTCTTATTTCCAGTTGATGTTGGTCTCAGTCGTGTTCCTTATCCAGAAGTAACATCCGTTAATAGTTCCATTCCTGTATCTGTAGAGAAAAGTGTGGAAACGGCACAAACAGTTTCATCAAAATATGCTACTGGAGCAATTTATGCTTACCAACCAGGAAAAATATATCGAGCGAAGCGTGTTTTTAAGGCATGTTTATATATTTTTTTTCATTTACTCATATTACTCATCGTTAGTAATTCAATAAGATAAGACTGCCATGCATGTGAATTTTAAATATCGAAGTAATACTATAATCAATTTTTAGCTATTGCTATAAAACTAGGACAGGTCTCTTTCCGTGTTAATGATTTCATTGCTTTTTTTTTTCTTAAGTATCAACATCATCTTGATATTAATCACTGCGTTTCAATAAATCTTAATTTTTTATTCAGGTTATCATATTAGGTGATGCTGGAGTTGGGAAGACTTGTCTTAGTTTTCGTTTTTGTAATGGGAGATTTCCGGCTCAAACGGAAGCAACGATAGGAGTGGATTTTCGAGAACGTTCTGTTACCATCGATGGTGAACTGATAAGAGTTTGTTTTCTTGTTTTCATCAGCAGATACTAAATTTCTACCTGTGATATTAAATAGCTAACTTTTACATTAAAACACTGTTTTGATACGATGAAACAATAAGCAATCAATAAAACTTGATCAGTTTCAGATCTTAATATTGCGTATGATTGTGAGAAGTGAAAATACTTAATTTTAGTTTAGCTCGGTTAACTTTTCTCATGTCACTGACACAACCTTCAATCGTTTTGTATTACAACTTGACACATCTTTATAATACTGCTGTGCTAGAGATTAACTCTTCGAAATATGTTTCCGTTTAAAAGGAATAAACGAAAACGTATTTCGAATATTTAGATTAAAACGAATTTCTTCAACACTTATCCAAGCGAATGATTTAAATGTTCAGCTTTTTTTGTATTTTTTTTATTAATAAAAAGAGAATGAATTTATTAAACTTGGGTAAATGTGTCTGGAAATGAAATTCAGACAAGGCCTGTAATTTCAACCCTTCACTGACATCCAGCGAGTCATTAGTCATGCATTTTTAATCTGCTAAAAGTGATATTGAAATCATAATTGTAAGGAACTTTTTTTTACATCTTCAGGTTCAGCTATGGGATACAGCTGGACAGGAGCGTTATCGGCAGTCCATTGTATCACATTATTATCGAAATGTGAATGCCGTTGTATTCGTTTATGATGTAAATAATCCGTCATCATTTCACTCATTAAATGACTGGATCAGTGAGTGCCGCAAACACTCGGTTTCGTCGACAAATAATACCCCGCATATACTAATTGGAAATAAATGTGATTTGGTACTGGAAAACAGAATTAAAACTGATGTTGCACAGGTTTGATTCCTTTAAGTACACATTTTTTTCTCTAAATTTAAATGATAAATTTTATTGGGGCATTGATAAATGAAGTACTTTGACAGAGAATTAACATCGCGAACAGGAGCTACGCTTGGTGCGGTGAAAGTTATATAACCACCTATAATTTGTAATCAATAGAAGTATAATAATTTATAATCTGAGGAGAGCAAGATTGTTGTACAACGGCAAGAGTGGTTTCAAAAAATTTCCCAAGATAAAGTTATCTTAAATTGCTTATTCCTTTCCTGTTTTATGCAAAATTCTTTGTAGATTTTTGCTGATCAAAATGATATGGCGTTATTTGAGACGTCAGCATTAGCAGATGCTGAAGCGGATCATGTTGAGTCGATTTTTATGACATTGGTGCATAAGTTGCAACAGAGTAAACCAATGCATGTTCAAACGGATGAAGAAAGAGCCCGGAAAGAGCAAAGGTTATTACTAAAAGCTGGTGATGCTACTACAGAAATTAGTGGCGAAGGATGGTGCTGCTGAGGCATAGTCATTGTTTTTAGCTAATCTGTATTTGTTGCTATTGTTAAAGTTGTTATAGGTTTGAAAGTTGACGTTTTCTTAGAGATAATTTTCCATCATGAATTTTAATTAGAAGCAAAATAGATCTGTTGTTCCATTGAATCGAAATCATTAATGTCTTTTGGTTTTCGGGATTTATTAAGTATATAGAATCCTCTTATAAGTTGTGAGCAGTTTATAAATACTCAAAGATTTAAGTCTGAAACTTCGGTTATTAGGTGGTCTGCAGTGCCAAAAGATTGATTGTACAAGGTCCTTTAAATCATCATTAGGAAATATGCTAAACCCTGAATTTCTGATATTTGCTGTATATATTATGAACCTATTGCGAGAAAAAACTATATTCGGCACATAGACGTTCCACATTAGGAAGTATGCTATAGCTTGAATTTCTGATAGGTAAATAAGCGTGTTCTTACACTCACTAAGTGATTCGCCTATTTAAGCCCTCCTAACGACGCTCTGACTGATATTTTATACTATTTGTTCTCTTTTGTATCATTTGAACTTTTTACTCAAAAGATTTCTTATTTGCTTTGATGGGGTCTTTTATGTTAATTTTTTTGAGGTTTATTTTGTTAGCAAGATTGTAAATAGTTTGTATAAATCAAATGCGAGATAAGATTCATATTCATTGTAACTGTTTTCATGTGAAGCACAATCGCCGTAAGAAATATTCGTTTTCATTTTTACCCAATTAAATCACGTACATATGTTCTGTACAACATACGAGAATCCAAAAGTCCTTATTTTTGGAATTCCAGAATAACAGTTCCAAATATAATCCTGAGAAGATCTTATTTGATCCAATCACCGCTATTTTTTGAGGTATGAATTGAGACAACAAAGTGTATTAGAGTAAAATGTTCGTTGAAAATGAGGAAAAAACTTTTACTTAATGTTGGTTTTTTGAGGCATACTTTTTTTGTGAATTTATTGATGTATAAATCTTTGTACAGATTAGATCTCTTGGGCGAAGTTTAGAGATCAAAAGATATTTGAAAATTGATTCTTTAAACTGTCGTCATGATCAAGCAAGTATTAAAAAAGTCAATAAAATTAGGTTGCATCTTTATGCAAATTCAATTGAGATCGTTGCACAAATAAAAGCATTCACAAGAAAGTGCGTGGACAAACGCTTCCTTAAAATTGAAATATTTTTAGTCTAATAGATTTTCGAAATTTTGTTTTAGAATTTTGTACATTTGATTCCACGAAATCCCATTTGAATATTCTTTTTACAGCACGGAAATGATAATGATTGTGATGTGTCAGATATGAAGATATTTCCTTTAAAAATTCAAATAATATGAGGGAATTGAACAACTAATAGTTGCCAGTGAAAGTTAATTCAAATGAATTAGAAGAGATAATTTGATGACTATCACTGTTTTCAAGTTGATCATATATAGAAATGTAGCCATCACTGAGAGGTGGTACTCTGCATTGAATAATTTTTCCTTTACTGTTTAATGCATTTAATTTTTAATTTGCATTTACTAGTTTTCATTCTAAATTTAAAATTAGATATTTTAAAAATTTTGCGGAAAAAAATCAAATTTAATTGCAAATGAATGCAAGGTGGTAAGATGCTGCAGTTATGTAAAATATTGGATTTGTTTGAGTAAGCTAAGTTTCTCACATACATCATTCCAGTGCCAGCTACACCTTATCGACCCGGATTTTTCCAAATTCTTATTCATACAGCATGCGCAAGATCCATGCACATACTTTGTTCCCGATAAAATTTGCATAAATTGCATCCAAATTCGTGCTTTTTGAGGCATATTTTCAGGTATGCTGAAGTGATCACCCAAAAAGGCCCAACAAAAATCGTCCGAAATACGTTTCATCGTTTCTGGTTTTAAGAATGCTGAACATGAAGATACTTCGATACATTGCACAAAACGTAAATAAATCTCTGGCTGCAATGAAAAATATTTTTTAAATGATTTTTAAAATTGATTGGACACATCTATTTCTAAAGGTGCATTTAAATGTTTTGATGAATTTTATAGCTTCTTGCTATCAATAAGATATCAGACCAAAAATGAGCAAATTAAAGCGAAGTGCATTTTCCATAATTACTACTAAAATCTTTTTTTCTCTATAATCAATTTCAGTAATAAATCACTACTTAATTTCAGGAACAATTATAATTTGTCTTTTTTTTTAACTTTAAAATTTTGAGTGATGAAATTTTAACATAAATTCTAACTCACTTCATAGACGATTATAGTATGAGTGCGTCTGTCTGGATCCAGTACTATCAATCCATTATGCTTCAACGGTATCATTTCTGTTTCATTGCTCAAAATAAATACCCTCCGGTCGGGTACATCAATAACGGCTACATCTAATGGTATAATAGCTGGCGAGATCTGAAATCATCAATGATTCCTACTGTCGCTGAAAAGCGAGAAGTACCAAAGAAGAATTAATTTCTTTGTTTTGGATTAAAATTTCAGGGAGAAGCAATTCCCTTTGTCGTGAAAGGATATGTATTTACATTTTATTCATAGATATAATTGTAATAAGGAATATTACTGTGTTTTAATGCATGTTAATACGTGTTCTTGTTTAAACCAATAGCACAGTTAAATGATTCATCTTGCACTCTATATCCCTTCCCATCCTTGCCTCCAATTATTGTATCACATGATCTCCTTTGCTCTTATATCCTCCAATATTTTCCCGCGTTATGATACGCACGTATACTTTGCCTATATA